AGAGAGAGAGAGAGAGAGAGAGAGTTATCAGAGCTAACGCGCTCAGCATTATCCCGGCAGATTTTTTTCCACGCGACCATAACGGCGTGCTAATAAGAATTTACGTGGCTCGCGCTGGTTGGTTCGCCGACAAATCATCATCGTTCATCGTTGTGATTCCGCGGAGACGAGCGCGCGCCGATAGCATCGTGCTTCTGGTCGTCCAGTTTTTGCTCGTTTTTTTTTTGCCATTACGAGAGAGAACGACGAGCCATTACGCATACAGCGGCCGACAACGAGGACGATGTCGAAGATACCGACAGAGAGTCCGCGGTTCCATTAAAAAAAATCGAATTTGCATGCGAGAGAGAAGCGAACCGAATTGCAAACCAACGGAACATCCTCGGAACGTCTCTTCTTTTTATCGATAAGGTCATCGCTGGTCTTTTATGCGAGATAAAAGAAAAAAAAAAGGAAAGTTAAAGGTATACGTATATATTGTCACGATAGCGACAGTTATTTACGACAATAAACATTTGATTACGGTAAATTACATAGCGGCTCGGAGTCACACGAACTCTCGTACGTTTCTTCTGTACGTTTCACGGGGTTTCATTACCTATTCGCAGCGGCGAAAGTATCCACCGTGCATAACTGGTCATCGGCCGGCTCTAAGCAATCAGCCTCTGGAATATCATCGTGCTGCGCTTCTGTGAAAACCGATTTCGGATTGGGGAAGCGCGTACATGCATGTACGTGTATAGCGAGATGGGTTGAGTAGAGGAGCGGGGGGCCTAGCGAGAAGGTAGCTCGGCCCTGGCTCGGTGCGGCGCGGAAAGAGGAACGCCGCAGAGTTACGTAAAGGCTGGCTCTGCTCTATACACACTTTCTGCCGTACGCTCTACGTACACGGGTGCACTTATTTCGCCGGTGTGTACGGCCGCGCGCAATTTCACACATACAGCGAGGCGAGTTGCCACTCGCGCGTGTGCAAACGGAGTAGAGGAGAGCGTACAAGCTGTTCGCGCGAGCACGTTCGAGTGTAGCGTCGATAGGTGTGTTGTGTGTTGCGTGCAGAGACAGAGGCGGCGAGCGCGAAAAGAGCGAGCGCGGCGGTTCGAGTGGCGATCGCGGACTCGCGAGATCGACGCTGCCAATTGGCTTTCTCCGATAACTTTCATCCACCTTAAACCTACGCTCCTCTCCCTGCCCTCGCCCCCCTTCCCCCGCAACAGTTATCCCCGGTACCTCGCTTCTTTTCCACCTTTCTTTATTCCTTTCCGCGTGCACCACGCGCCACTTTCACTATCGTCGCGATCCAATTCCACTCGGCGCTCGGCTACGACGTAGCGCTGCGTAACGTGCGCTCTACGCGCCGACACTCGCGCGACCCGGCCATTTTTCGAGACGGTTACACACGGTTGCGGCGCGTAGAGCGTTGGGTGATTTCTAAAAATACGAAGTCGGGAGGAGACCCCCCGCGAGAGAAGCATCGGCCCCGACTCGACTCGACCGATTTATACATTACGAGACCGGTAAAAATACGCTCATCGAGCCGTGAATACGCTCGATGAATTCCCGAGGAAAACACGTCCGCGCGTCTTCGTTACGTCGGTTAGTGAAAGATGGTGAAAGACGTTGGCTGGCGGTGAAATTAGAAATTACATGCTTCTTTTATGGTTCTCCTCTGCGTTTAACGTAACGAAAAAGGTGGAACGCTGTGGCGTTAAAGGGAGAGACGGAACAGGCTAGCGTTGCCCGTAAAATGGATTATCGAAATTACGCCCGTAGCGTCTTCGCGCTTTTACGACGATGCATCTTCGTCCGATATATAAAGGAAAGCTTCGGAATATTTACTCGAGGCACGGAAGGGCCGCCTCCGTGTTTACGATAGTCGCTTTCCACTGTCGGTTCTCGTTCACCACGCGAGGATGCAATCTACCTG